GATGTCAAAGATGTAAATTTTGCGCTCCAAAACTGCCACCAATCTGCAAATCCACGGTAAGTCGCTGCATCAGTCTACTATTCTTCTTGTAAGTTTGCAGGCATCGCTACCTCTGTCGGTTCATGCGCACAGCCAATACAGCCGTAACGAAATTCAGGTCGCAGATGGCAGCCCCAGTCTTGGTATTCCACACACGCAATCGACGTGGTGAGAACGCAGGCTACGAGCAAAAATAAATAGAGTCAGCAGGGTAACTCAATGCAACACAAAAGGCATCGTAGACCTGATCCCCGGCGCCGACAAGAGCAACCAAACTAGTGCAATACAACATCTCTGCGATACCGATGCCCCCAATGTCTTCCTGGAAGCATTTGCCGAAGGGTTCGCAGTTATAGATTGCGAACCCTTGGCGAGTACCCACACTGATACATCTGAGACCAATTCCACAGCGTGTAGTTTATCAGTATCACAACCGATTGCAGCGTCAGACGTGAGCAATGGAGTCAGTAATGGAAAGCACACGTACGAGGCTTCCTGGTTGAAATTGAGGAAGAGTAAGTCGGCGCGGCTGCTCTCGGCGCTTCTCATTCTTCTTCCTTTACTTGCCTCGTGATAATCAGCACTTGGTTTTGTAAGTGATATTAGCCAATTACATGATCTCGATTTGAACCGTTTTAGCCAATCGTTTGTTCTAAATGAATCTAACCTCGCAAACCAAAATTGTGGTATCGCAGTGCAAACAGACCAACACCAATGTGTCGCTACTGATATTTGAATATATATAATAATAGTGGCGATAGATTGATACCAATGCAACGGTGGGTTTTCGGCGTGATTTGCTTTTGGTTGTCTTCTTCCGGATCTTACAGGTGAGCGAGAGCAAATGTTGTGCTCGCGAGGATTGGGAAAAAGCATCTAGCCACATGAGGCGGGCCGTGGTTGTTCGCACGCGTATTAATAGTGATGTAAGCTACGGGTATGTATATACATACTCTATCATTAAAAATATCCGTCCTATTACATACATCGTTTTCTTAACAAAGCGACGAGGTGCGCGAACAGGGAATGATAAAATTGAGCGAAGGAAACTAAAGAGGCAAATGCCGTACGTGCATTAGGAAGATAAATTCGACATAAGTTGTGACGAGCGCAACTGCAGAACTCACGAGACGGTGGAATAGAAGAATTTGCACAGCCCAATTTGTTGAAGTGTGGAGGTTGCTGTAATCATAACGATTGGATGGCAGGTCTACAATTCTTGTGTGGTGCACGTACAGTGTCTGAGACACGTCGGATACCCCTCAGTTTTTTTAGTATTGTGCATGTAAACGTAACAGGCCACATCATCTCAGGTTTTCAAACAGGGTTTACACCAGGTTTTTATACTTAGAGCGATATCAGCACGATATCCCAAATGTGTGAGGATATCTAGCACGTTTGACAACAGGTTACAAAACAGTTTTTGTGCTTGAGGTGTTACCGACGGCAACACGGAACAGCTCGGACTCAAATACTACTTCAATATCTGACAAGAAATGTGTGCATTTATTGACTTAGTAGTGCAGACAACATCCGAACTCTAAAGCTATTCAGCTAAGGGAACTTCTGCGCATTGCTGATCTTGTCGTCAAAACTCCTCCACATAAAGTTAAGAACGTAAATACCACAGCTATTCCCGTCGTTCTGGGTAGGACATACCACAACAACGGATTTGTATGAGGCAAACTTGCTCTCTTTGCAAAGGCGTGTTTTTGATTTTGTTCAGGTACGCAACTGCCCGCTAATCCAGTCTCCAGGCTGTAGCCGTTATAGCGTGGAGTAGTCTAGATCGCAGTGTAGACTCTCATCTACAATCTGATATGGATGGGACTCTAACAAACACTTTGCGGCTTGATCAGCTTCAGTTTTGTCCTTTAGAATTGACGATAGCCATTCTAAAGCATTTTGTCCTTTTTCCGAAACGCTTCTCAGAGTCCACAATTTCTGCATACAATCGAGTTGATAGATGAAAAAAAATCCTGATACCTGTAAGCTTCACGTAGGGTGGGTCATCATCATTCTGGCTGGGTAGAGAGAACAGAGCCCGACTTGTAGAGAACAGAGTGCTGTGCGAACTGCCCCGACCCGAAGGCATCCATCACCATAAGACTGCAAAGCTGGTAGTCGTATCTATAAAACATAAAAACACACGTTAAAAATTGAACAGTTTAATCCTGTTTTGAGCCGTAGCTTAAAACCTGGTACGAAACCTGATTCGTGACAGGGTGGAAGCCTGTTTTAAACAACTGAAAGGAAACCTGGTGTTGAACCTGTTTTGAACTTACCGATTGGTTTTGTGAGTACAGTCCACCAGCAGGAGCTCCGGATACTTAGCGAACGTCGCTCGCATGTGGCCTGTACTCAGTGAGATTGATCCAGTCTCCCCAGTTGACGTGTCATCGACACTTACCACGTTGTTCTTGCCCTCCTCGCCGAAGCTGACAAGAAACCCGGCAGCCGCCAAATCATCATTATGCTGTCCACGGAGCTCACTGCGAATTCGGGCAAGAAGATTCGCCACATTTCTCTGCGTCACTTTGTACCTGGCGTTATCACGGATGTACTCGTAAATTCGGAGACTCTTGCCTCCAGCGCGTACCATCAACCGAAGGTCTTGAACCAGAGGCTCAAACATACACGTACAAATGTATCGTCGGCGGAAACGGGGAAGGGTCTCGGGTACGTATCGCATCGAGCCACCGTCTATAGCGCGCTTAGAAGCACGCAGTATCTTGTTGCGTTTGGCGATACTCTCCGATTCGTGCACCACAAGATGCGCACTTTCGGATTCGCAATACAATTCGCGGTATTTCTCCCAGCTTTCCCAGTTTGTGTGGTAGCGACGCAGCTCCTTCACCCAAAAGAGCCCTCCTGGTCTGCTGGAAACCCCTCGTCACTAGCATTGCCGCCAACCTGCGTGGCCACCTCCCCCTCACCTTCCGATTCTGAGACGCTGGACAAAGAGGCTGGGGGATCTTCGCGATGGACGCTTCGTCTTCAGAGTGGGCTTTGCGCTTCATTACTCCAGCACGACTCAAATTTGGAAATGAATGGATTTTGAGAAGCTGCGCTGCATAGGTACGTGCGATCAGGTGCCGTATCATGAGATTAGTAGGTGTAGGGGAATATTTTCAAATCATGGTATTTTACTTTTTAATTACAGCCTGGCCAGAAACCTGGCGAGACCTGTGCTTTAAACCTGGTCAATTGTCGCACGGCTATGCACGAAAAACCCGGGCAGTAGGTTTTTCCTTATTGATTTCATACCGTGACTCATCATGAACTTCCCCAATAAGTACGGGACATTTTAATAGATCCGCCTTTACGTATCTTTGGATTATGCAGTGTTCATACACTCGTTTCACGTCCTCACTTTTCGATACGCCTCGTAGACCAACGACCCCACCACCAGAAAACTAAGCCACTTAAATGAAGACTCACGTGATAATTGCTACTACTCTGGTATTTTCTGCTATCATGGATTCGACAATGGGAATGCCTCAGTTTCTGCAGGAGCTTCCAAATGGAAGCTTGTTCAAGCAGGACCTCGGTCACCCTGGCAATGACAGCTCCAAGGAGACACCTTTTGCTCAAGCGTTCGATAACGCCGGGCAGTCGTGGTCGAAGAGTTTGTGCGAAGCCAAATTTCCTAGGTCAAGCATGACGAACGGCCAGGCATTTGGTGATCCCTGCTGCACATGGAACAAAGGTGGTAAGCCAGACTTTACGGTCGCTCCGTTCACAACGACTCCAGGCAAGGCTACCACGTGTGCGTCGAATGGTGCCCCCAGTCCAGCTTCTGGTCCATCGAACGGTCCTCTTGGCGGAGCCTCAGATGCTACGAAGGACTGGGCGCCAGTACCGGCTTCTGACGCCACGAAGGGCAACACAGGAGAATCTGCCTCACCTCCTTCGAGTCGTTGCCAGGGTAAGATGAGGTCGCGCCAATAAGCTGGAAGGCAATGTATTCAGCCTAAATGTGCAGTCATTCTGAAATTGTGCTGAGCAATAAGAGAAGATGTTTAGTAAGTGTTTTTGGCGGACAAATACGACCACGGTCAAATCTCTTGTTTGTTTAACACTCTCGTAGATCTCTGTCTTTTATACTGTTACTTATGTAGTGATAGCACTAAGTAAGTGCCAATGCTTCGACTGTCTCTTCGATGATCGACTCAAAGCTCTATCGTTTCCTAAATTGGAAGTTAGCACTTCTTCTGTAGAGTGTACTCGTTGGGAACGATTTGGCGGCTGTTGCCGCAGACTACCTTGGAAGAATTTTAAACAGCAGATCTGGTCTTTTTGGACCACTGCTAAATATAGGAGACCAGAGTGGAAATAGGCTTAGAATAAAAACCATTTTTCAATACCTCTATATTTTGAAGTAATAATGTAGTACACCGCTCACGCTAATTAGTCGGCCTCTGACTAATAGTGGTGTACGACTTCAGAGTCCCAAAAAATGTGCGACTAATCGAGGTATACTACTAATTCTGGTGTATGACTATTTATGGTAGAATCTTAGAAGGTTAAAGCTGAGCCGACTGCCCAGCTTCCGCGTAGCCCTTCTTGAACTCATCTTGATATTCAGCGACGATGTCCTGCAGGTCTCGGCCAAGCTGATCGACTTTTGTGACGGGGTCACACAGCACCTTACGCTAGAGGAAGTTATCTTCCGAGAGTATACAAACATTCAGTGAACGGCAGTTCACAGGTCGGGCGAAGTGACCTAAATAAGGTAGATTGTAAACTGAGTATATTTATAGGTAGGTTAAGTTTGTGGTTAATACAAACTATCAGTTACCTATAGAAATGCAATGTCATTTAACCAATGGTTGGTTTTGAATGACCTTGGTACCTTGTACCAAATATCCCGGAGTATGACATGTCATACTCCTGAAGTGTGAAGTGTCACACTTCATGTAACCAGGGTACACTTAGTGCTACGTACCCCGTTACATCCTCCCCCACTTAGGTTCGGTTTACCGACCAATCAGAATGAAGAGATGTTCGTCACAAACTCTCATTCTCAAAGTCGAAAACCATCGACTCGGCCGCGCGAGCGCGGCGGAGGCTCACTTTACAGCTAGAGCCTCGAGCAGCAACCTGTGCGCTCTTCGCCAAGGTCTCCACTTCGACCGTTAACATGCCTCGTGGCACTGCTAAGAGCGGTGCTAAGACACGCTCCAAGGCTGCTGCCGGTAAGGCGCAAGCCAAGAGCACTAAGCCTCACGGCAAAGGCACTGCACTCAAGGAGGCTACTCAGGTGGCCTCCGAGGCGATCGGTTCCTCGGGTAATGCGGCTGTGGACAAGCGCGCAAGCAAGCGCCGCAGCCCGTCGCCCTTATCTTCAGACAATCGTCCGAGCCCTCGGTTCGTGGAACATGAGTTGAACTCGGGCAGTGAGGACGATGCCGAGTCCGAGAGCACTCACGATGCTCTTGCGGACTCTGTGGGAGGGCACAGCCCAGTGCCCAGTGAGCACAAAGATGACAGCGTGCAGTCGCTTGCTAGTGATCAAGGTAATCACAGTCCCAGAACGTCTGTGTGCTCTGAGAGTCCGGCCGTCAAGGCTAAGGGCACTCCCAAAGCCGGTGGCGATGAGGAAGATAATCCTCGCAAACGTCTCTCGCTTGCCGAGGGTCTTGCGCGTGCTAAGGCCTCTAAAGCCGAAGGCGCCAAACCCTCAAAGAGGCGTACAGCCTCTAAGTCTCCACTCCGCGAGGAGAAGGAGACTCAACACTGCTATCAGAGTATCTTCGACTCCTCGGGTGAAGAGGAGGGAAAGGAGGAAGAAGAGGAGGAGAAGGATGCTATCGCTGAGCACTGGGAGTTCTCGAATGACCTCGACCAGCAGCAGGAGGAGTTTTAAGCTGCCCAGCGTGTGCGTGGGGGTTCGGTGGTGGCACCTGTCAGCCAGGGAGCTGCCATCAGCTCAAGAGGGTATTGGCCTCCCGAGGAGAGCTCTGGGGCTGACCTCTTCTTAGAGCTTCTCGTCGCTCCTCGTGGCCTTGTGGGCGGCCACACTTCTAGGGGCATCTACGAACGTGCCTTGTTCAGAAAGAACAGCTGTTTGTTGACAACTTGGAGGCTGCTCGGTGTGTGCTTCTCGCGCCACACCGCATCCCTCTCTAGGTCTGCACCACTCGCCGTAAGAAGCCCGAGACCCTGGGCGGCCTCTATCATCTTTGGGGATACCCCTGGGTTATGCCCGAGAACTGTCCCACGTGG